AATATCTGCCAACTCAAACAGGTTAAGTGGGAAAATATTATGAAATTTTGTAAAATAACATATTTCTAGTAAACTCCATTTGACAGTCTCTAAAATATTTTTAAATTCACTTTCTGTAGACACAATAAGAAAAAGATCTGTTCTTCCATTCTGTTGGGTTCAGATAACAGTAGCTAAATTCTGAATGTTCATGATTGTGGGAATAAGATTATTTTTAAGTTAGCAGGCCTTTCAAAGATTGAGTTTAATTCTCTTTTTCTAAAAATATTTGCCCATATTTTATTTATTTATCTGTAGCTGTGCATTTTTTGAGGAAGAGTTTTCCTGTTTTATGTAATACCTTATATAAACCTTATATAACCAAAACATCCAAAGTTTAAAAGTTAGTCCCACTTCTGAACAAGATATCTAAATCGGGACTAACAATGGTGGGTGTGCACAAGGTAGGGATGGGAATTATGAATACAATTATAAGCCAGCAAGTTTAGTTCTAGGACTAGAGAGAAGCCAGGAGTTGTCAACAGGAGCTCCGCTATTAAGGTATTGACATGAATGCGGTAGAGGAGCCTGGAATGACATTGGTTGTCAACCAGAAACCTGTAATCATTCTACTACTCACTACTATGTAGATGTTTGGATGTATAGGTAATAAGTTGTCTACATCAATAAATGAATAAATGTAAGTCACCATTGCTTTAAAATAACAACAGAAAGCATTCGTGTACTGGGCATCATTGTCATTAACATACCAGAATTTATATTTCTAAGTCGTGTGTTAAAGGCAGTGCCCATAAAGGTAGAAACGTTGTTTACCATAGGATTCTGCGGGGCCCTCCTCCATATCCTTAGCACGGTCTATAGAACAAACACTCCGAAGGCTGTACCTCTAGTTCTATACTCTCTCCTGAGCTCTGAAAACAAACCCAGACACACGTTGCCTATTCAGCACTGGATAAGTCTACTTAGGTGTCTCATGTATTTACACACACACACACACACACACACACACACACACACAATTTGCTCTTTC